TTTGAGATAGAGTCTCACTCTGTTGCTGGAGCTAGAACACAGTGGCCTCATAATAGCTCGCTGCAGACACAAACTCATGGGCTCAAGTAATCCTCCCGCATCAGCCTCCCAAGTAGCTAGAACTAGAGGTGTGTGCAACCACACCCAGCTAATTTTTCTATTTTTTTTTTTTAAGAGATGGGGTCTCACTGTATTGCCCAGGCTAGTCTCAAACTACTGGTCCCAAGCAATCCTCCTGCCTTGGCCTCCCAAAGTGCTGGGATTACAGGCATGAGCCACTGTGCTCAGCCAAAAAGATAATTTTTTAAATGAAAGAATATACAGCATAACTTAAACAGAAAGCAGTTGATTTAAAGTCTAAACAGTCACCCACCTGTGGGTTCTTCAATTTAGTGATAACTTTCCAAGCTTCATTGAGAATCTGAAGCCGATCACTCTCAGGAGGATCAGCCAAGGCCAAGTTTAATCCCAGTGACCGAAAAAGGAGATGCTACGAAAAATACCAAACCATCATGTTACTGGAGATTTTAAGTCAAAGTAACTTGAGCTTAAAAAAAAAAAAAAAAAAGCAAAGGTTGCAACGTTTAATCCTTCTCAGAGTTAATCTTCCAACAACCTCCTTCTGAAATTCTACTGCAGATCTACCCAAGTTACAGTGAACAGCTCACAACAGAGTTGGCTCCAAGCACTGGTCTAATTTGTGGGCCAAAATATTCCCCTAGACAAAGCTTTTCATAAATGAGTGAAGATATATTTTTAAAGATGTTAGACCAAAGTCTTTCCTAAGTACTTCATAGTGAGCTAATGTAATGGACGGCAATTACACAGTGTCTACCAATCCCGGGCTCTAACTCATCTTCCATCGCATTCCGCAGGAACGGAGCCTTTACTTGTTTTCCTGTTGGCCCGCGCTGCCCCCAGCACCGGACTCTCCCTCGAGGGCTATCAGATAGACATCACCCATTTGTTCTCCGGCTGAGCATTAAGTCAAAAGCCTACCTTGGGGAAACCAGATTCGTCGCACTCTTTGATCATGCCAATGAAATCCATAGACCTTGTGGCGATGAACTCAGCCCGGAAGGCTGACATCACAGAATTCAACAGCAAGGCACTGCAAGACAGAAAATGCCCCGGGTCAGCCGAGATTCCCCTTTATAAAAGGCACTTTAACTTTAGGATGTAACTTGCTGGGAAGGATGACTGACAGCCCTTTAAGGGTAAGCTTGGGGGGTGGGGGGAAGACTCAAGCAAAAAGGCAACTTCTAGAGACTAACACTGTTCTGTTCATATTCGGAACTTGATAAATGTTGAATTAACTGGATGTTTAGATAGGTGTATGGATGGATGGATGGCTGGCTGGATGGGTGGATAGGTAAATCAGCAAGCAATCCGAACCACTTAAACAGAAGGAAAGCGAGCCTTCAATAGGCCGGTGTACTAATAAAACTAAATATTAAGTAAGAATATTAATCCATGCTACACATACATATCCGCATCTCTTAGGTAAGAGATCTCTTATGAAAGAGATCTTATGTTCTAGGCACTAGGAACACAGTGGTGAACAAAACCCACACATCTACCACTGAAAGGAGAGCAGAGGGGAAACCTCATATGCATGGGAGACAGGAAGACCAAGTTCATCCTGCTCCTACCACCTATCACAGCCCCATGGAGAAGGGGCTACTATTATATTATGCCCATTTTACAGATAAGGAGGCACAGAGAGGTCAAGTAAGCAGCCCAAGGTCACAAGGCCAAGATGGAATGAAGCCATGGTCTGAGGTCAGACACGTGGACTCCAGCAGCCTAAGCCTCTGTGCTAACCTGCCTCTGTGTCAGCTCTCTGCCCAGGTAAGCACATCAAGTTCAAAAAAAGCAGTCAAGTTCATTTTCAAACTCATGATTTATGAATGTTAAAATACTCACTTGTTTCCTAGTTTCTTACATCTCTCCATCATCTCGGTCAGCAGAGCCTAATATGTTAAAAATAATAATAATAAAATTCATCAGGTTGGAGGATCTAAAGCAACATTTCTAAGATTTCCAATGTAATACTCTAAAGCTGGGGTCCCCAACTCCCGGATCATGGACGAGTGCCAGTCCATGGCCTGTTAGGAACCGGCCACATGGTGGGCAAGCAAGCGAAGCTTCATCTGTATTTACAGCCCCTCCCCATCGCTCACATCACTGCCTGAGCTCTGCCTCCAGTATCTCATTATAATTACAATGTAATAATTATAGAAACAAAGTACACAATAAATGTAATGCGCTTGAATCATCCTGAAACCATCTCCCCTCCCACCCTCCGGTCCACGGAAAAATTGTCTTCCATGAAACCAGTCCCTGGTGCCAAAAAGTTTGGGGACCACTGCTCTAAAGTGGATGTAGCTACACATCCATTTATATAATCACCAGTGCCTGGTAGAGATGGGAAGGGCGGGGGGCAAAGAAATTCACTGTCACAGCATTTGGTAGAATGGATAGGAGGTGGGGCCCTGGCATCAGGCATACTTGGGTTCAAATCCAGCCCTGCCGACTACCAACGGCAACACCTCAGGTAAGTCACCGACTTTGCTAAGCCTGGGTCTCCTCATCCTTAGTCGGAGAATAAAAGTGCCACCATCCCATCTGCAGGGTTGCTACAGGATGATGGCAGAGGCACCTCCTGAACTCCAGAGCCCGAATGAGAGTGGACATTACTTGCTGCCCACCTCTCTGACCCCCCCATTCCTCTGCATTTGAGGTGCCCATGGTGCACTCAGTAATACATGTGACAAGCACTGGGTC